CCTCCTCTGGGCTCCTGATTCTTTCTGCAGCCTTTCTACTGCTACTCATTGGCTTCTTCTTACTGCTGTCTTTCAGCCACACCCCTGATCTTTTAGTAGGAAAGATCTACACCTAGCCTTCTCGGACAAGGGCGAAAAATCTCGGAGGTCCCGTGCACGTTAAAGATCCCTTGGTGGTCTAAAATCGATAAGAGTAGGCTTCGGCCGCCGCCCGGGCAAAATTCAAAATTTCCTACCAACTGAAAAAGTTTAGTGTGTCCCGCGCGCTCATATGACCTTATGCAGTTGCGAGCGCCGTAAAACACTTACAAAACAAAACAAACATCTATCGTCCTTTATCTCCCCTTCTTCTTTTTTATGTTTTTTACACAGAATTCTACACTTAGTAGAATTCTGTGGTTTGTTACTCTCTTGTAACACCTCTAATCTTCTGGCGCTCATATGACCTTATGCAGTTGCGAGTGCCGTAAAACCTCTACTAACGAACTCTCCTAAAACTACATTATTTGCTGAGGAATACAGGATAGATATCTGTATCAAACATAATGTTCCAAGCAAAGGGTTTATTTTGAAATGGGTTGTACATTTTGAAAAGGTCTGGGTCCATAGAACAAAATGCGAATTCTAAGTCCCGAGTAAGGTGAGGGTGGGCCGTGATTCGATGAAGTCTGGCTGATACCTTGTCATATCTACCATAATTTTGGAGAATACTTGAGACTATTTGTTGATGATGAAGGGAGACAGAAACAGAACTTCCTGTTAGACGGGGCTGCTCGTCATAACGCCAGAGCTTTTCTGCGACGGATCTGCAACCATTTTGGTTATACATGATGCCCATTGCGAATGGGATCGGGTCGGGGGCGATCGCCCAACTCGTCCCCTGAAAACGCGATTGTTTTTGAGTCGGCCAGTCGAGTGCGATCGGCTTGTGCCACTATAACCGCTTTGCGCCCTCAATCTTGCTGGCAAACCGACCCGATCAGATCAGATCAGATCCGATTCCCCAATGGGCACCCCGTATTATAGAACAATCAGTCCGACTGAGCACAACTGGACCCCGAATGATCCGGACCCGAGTCCACTGGACGTCCAATATTTGGTGTGTTGGAGGGATAAGGTGTGTGGGGAAAACCTTTGGCAGCACCCAAGACTCGGGAGAAACCATCATGGAGGGCACGAGAGAGATTTCTCCCCAGCAGTGTCAACGGGGGATTGTCAATGTCACTCCGCGTGTCAGAATGTGCTTTACTTTTGCTCGAAATTGGGGGTGTCTAGAAAGAAGATAATAATATATTGCAACTTCATATTCGAAGCTGTGATAATGTTTTATTGTTATTAATACAGAATAAATCCGGTGGATGCTTCGCGTTTCTGAAAACTTGGGTGTTTGTACCCTAATTCACTGCCCCATTTCGTTCTGTGGTCTAGCAGAGCGTTGACAGTTATTGGGCGGTAGGTGGAGAGGAGACATCGACGATACCAAACTCCTAAAATCAAACAGAAAGTAGCCTACAGTGGATTATATTTATGTTTATGAACTAAGATTTATGAATTGTAGTAGAGCTGGGCAAAGAATTGAGTCTGGAACCGATTCCTGCGATCAGATTACCAGTTACTCTGGTCATTAAAATCTTCTTCTTTTTGTAAATTTTTTTATTTGAAAAATAAAAGATGACGCTTCGCAGTGTTCCGAAATCAAAGTTATCCACAATCCTGGGGATATTTGGAGCCAGCCAGGTAATCACCGGAAGAAATTACATCATTAGAAAATAATTGGGGTGGGTGCTCTGGTGTGGTTTGCTTCTTCATTTCTATCAAACTTCTATCCGTCCTTATCTCCCCTCCTTCTTTTTTGTGTGTTTTTTACTCTCTTGTAACACCTCTCATCTTCGGCACTTATATGACTTTATTGAGTTGCAAGTGCCGTAAATCTCTTACTAAAACTAAAACTAAAAAAAAGTAATTGGGTTCGGAGTCGATTCCTACGATTCTTAGCTTTCAATAATTGGGAAGCTAGCTGCCCAGCACTAAATTGTAGGAATGCACTTTTACTGGAAGACTTGCCTCGTCACTCTATTCTCGGGCCTAGCACTGAACAAGGGGTTAATGACTCATTGTCTTTGTGTCGTGCAGAAACTCTGCACGGTGCACGGGTACGTGTACAATAAATATGGGGAAAACAGCTACTCCAAAAAAAAAAAAAAAAAAAGGCATTTAAACTGCGTAAACACATTGGAACGTTTTAGAGAAACTCCTATGGCTGCCAAATTACATTTTTGATGATCCTCCGGCGAAGCAACTCTCGGAGCATTAAAATTTCATAAAAATAAACAAGGATGTTTTTCTTACCTGACGTTTGTCATAATGGCGTCATTTGTCATGGCAAACAATGTGATCGTGTCAGAAGAATGGCATAAGAAGAGCAAAAGAACAAAATCTTCCCCAAAAGACCGGCTTTCTGGATTCTGGTTTGAAAGTGGCGCCCCTCCCGTGGAACCTAAAGAATGTAACTTTGTCATCATCGACTTTAAGGTTACTGGGGAAAGTGCCCTCTTCGTTTGGAAACTGGAGTCAGAGAAAGACGAAGAGGGTGACTTCGAAGTGACTTACCGAAGAAAATATTCTCAGATTGTCAGTGCTTTCATGTATCCCCCTGTGGAAGATTTAGCCGTTGTTACGTAAGAGCAGTTCTTCCTCCTTCGACTCGAGGCTCAACAAAAAGGGCAAGCAGCCTGTTACAAGTTTGCCGTTAAAATGGAAATCCTTGGAATCCGTCAAAGTTTCTATACTCATTGAAGTCCCCACTGTGTTTGAATGTCATCTTCAAATGTTCAAAGTGCAGCACTTAAAGCTCTGTCTGGAAAGACAATTCTGAATTAGTGTTTTTAATCAGCAGACATTGTTTCTTTTGGCTACTATAATTATAATTTGGTTTCGGAATAACACCCCCAAGAATACTATGACTATAACTGTCGGATCATTTGGGATGGGAGATCTCCAATTTTACATCCTTCTCCGTCAGAACGCAACGGGGAGCCATGAAAACCCTTTCATTAGCCCATGTTCAAGAACACACAAACCTGGATTCCAATTAGAGTTCATCAATCAGAAAGAAATAATGATAATTGCCTAGCAAATGGAGCACATTCATAAACGATGTGCGCTCATCAAATCCCAATTTGGACAGACTCGGAACAGGAAACTAACATGGATGCTATTAATACTGACTTCTTCAGATCTTCTGGTACCTCTCCGGTGTTCCATAATATTGTTGTGCAATATCGTCACTTGTTTGATACTCACCCTTCTAGTTCTGTGATAACTCTGTGGGAATATGTTGTTTGGACCTGGTACTTTGCCATATCATGTTTACTATTTATCCAATATATTTTGGCCATCTGTTCAGTATAACTCTGGTATCCAATAGGATTTTTCCACTTTTAGATTTTGAATATCCTATTTTGGGTGAGCGTTTCTTTCCCGACGCATTGTGAATTTTTTGGTGCATGAATTTGCTGTCTTATTTGGTCTTGCTATTTCCTTTTTCTTCACATTGTGAATTTGGTTATGTATCTTTGGCTTCATCGAATCTCTTTTTCACCCGACCTTCCGTTTCTTTGCTTTTCTTTTCAATACGTTTTTTTTCCTTCTTTCCTTCGTAAGATCAAGTAGGCCCTACAATGTGGTCAAGGAAAAAATGCCAGTTTTCTGTTTTAAAAAATATTGGTGCTGGAACACGACTTGATTGAAGCACCAAGTGTCACTTTTACTGCATGGCTTACTTTTTAGACAACTTAGTATTACGTACGTGAAAGGAAAAGCGTAAAGAAGACTTAGGGTATCTTTGTAATAAGATCGCCTGATAAGACAGCCTAGGTTAAGACTCCAAAAACACAAATGTATACACAGTCAAAAAGTGGTATACATATATTTTTTTTCTCGCCAATATATTTGTGCGTGCACGGTTGTTATGCAACTAAGCTGCAACATCACAAAGCTATCAAGTGCAGTAATTTTAGCAGATACATTGTACGGCTAGGATCAAAGCTTGAGACGTTGGATGCATTCCAGAGCCGTGATCACAAACAGCACCAACAACAACAACGACAACAACAACAACAGCAGCAGCAGCAGCAGCAGCAGCAGCAACAAAACAAAAACAAAACAACTACAATGACAATAACAATAAACAACAACAACAACAACAGGAAACAGCAACAACAACAAGAAAATAAACACATCATCAAAACAATAGGCCAATTATAAGAACACGCACAATATCCTTGATATCACCGATAAAGGATCCAGGGGTTATAACCCTTTTATCAAAACGTTTTTCCTCTGTTATTTCCCTTTATCTCCTTCCTCGGCCTCACGATTAGTCACGAATCAACGTTTGTGTTGTCAAAGAAGAAGCACCTTTGTTTCAATAATGACATTTCACGACAGTTTGAGAGTTAAGTTTCTCGAAATGTCCTTCCTTATTTAGCCCTTGGTTTCGCCTAGAACAAAGGCCACCGAAAAGAGCTCTCCATACACTCAGGCACTGGGCCAGACTGAAAATTTAGTCGGACTTTATCATGTCAGATTTTATTTCCCGCAAAGACATGAACAATGAACAGAAATAGATCTAGGCCTACATGTAATTTTATTATTTTATTCATTTTGTCGAATCTTTGCTTTGCTCAGCTCCTGGGCACACCAGTAACTACACCACTCCCTTTTTTGTAGAGCTAGAGTAGGAATATTCTAACAACTTAAGAATAAAAGTTTAATCAAAAGAAAACTAAGCGTTCAGTAAGATTAGTTTCAAAAGGCAACAATAAATACCCAACAGTTTTAGTGACGGGAAATAACAAAAAGTTTCCATGCTTACTACCAACGTATTCATCTAGTGATAATAAAAGGAAAGGTATAATTTCGGAAGAAGGGCACGGGTCTTTCAGCTTTTGAAGACATAGAATCTAGATCTAGGCTAATTCTAATTTCTACTTTGCAGCACCCCCCCAATAAATATTTAAAAAAAAATTAAACAACGATTGCTTGGTGGTACGAAGGAAACTAACGTGCCACAGTTCAGAGGTCAGAGGGTGATGTTAGGTCATCAGGCGATCAATAATCAACATGGCTTTGGAGTTAGACTCGCCGATCTACACTGGCACCAAGGTTTTCTTACCTATTTCCAAGGCTGTTGGGCTTCCTGTTGATCAGGTACTGTTACAAATAATCAGCATTTTATCTCCTCAGACCTCTACCTTCAATGATATTGTAACAATGCATTCGAAAGACGTTATAAGAAAAAAAGTGATATCTCTTTGTTAGCCGCGGCTTGGTTTGCGCAGACATTCTCAGAACGTCGACCTTTCTTTTCTAGCAGACGTCGCGTTCCCTTGTTCCCTTTAGTCGCCTTATTCATAATGCGTTTTTGTAAAAACGTTATCTTTATTATGTTTCTTTGCCCTTCAGATTTTTCCCTGTTACTTTGAGAACGAATAAAGTCAAGGTTCAGCTGAAAATGCATTGTGTCTGGTGCCGGTTGAACAAAAAACATGATCCTTTTTTATTTAAATACAGTACTTTTTTGGACCGTCTCAGTGAAGAGTTTTGATTGTTTTTTTTGTTTTTTTAAATGCTGATGTTGGATTTTATTTTTAATCAAGGATTTCAGAAAGTATTATGCATGGGGTCAGTCTGACCTTAAACAGATTTGTGGCTAGTAGAATGGGATGATAGAGTCTAGTATAGAAACACTTGTCAGGCTCTAGCTCTAGCATTATCATGATTTGGCCAGTCTAAAAAAAAAAAAAAGCAACAACAGTGTGTGATGCGCTGCTATTTTTAACAGCATCTTTAAAAAAAAAATTTGAAATGCTCTTTCAGTGGAAAAAAGTTTGATTGAACCATAGATAGATCTAGATCTATATATCTAGATCTAGATCTATATCTAGATCTAGAATCTAAATATCTAGATCTAGATCTATATCTAGAATATCTAGGCCTAGAATCTTGTGATTCCAGAAATTCAGCATTCTGAGGTAGATTCTAAATTAAGTTGATATTAACATCTTATTTCTCTGTGTTATTAAAAAAAAGGCCGTCGTTATTCGGACTCGAGTCCGAATAACATTTTTTCATGAAGTCCGAATAAAAAAATTTCTTATTCGCACTCGAGTCCCAATATGAAAAAATGTTATTCGGACTCGGGTCCCGAAAAAAGGAAGTGTCTTCGTTCTATAGATCTAACGTTCAGTGCTTCCAATTTTCCGCCATTTTTTAGTTTCCCTCACACCTTATCTGCCGATCCAATGCCCGCCGCCTCATTGATACGCCCCCCCCCCCCCCCCCACGTTTCCCACTTTCTTTGTTGTAGAAAAAGGTAAAATTGAAGATTAGCAGACCACCTGGCACCTGCATATAATGAGCTGTGTAAAAAAAAAAAAAGACCGATTCGTTCAAATACACAAGCCTATCGATTGCAACTTTTGATTCCATAGACCAGCGCACAATTCATTACGTAGATCTACGTCAAGACTAGCTTATTATTGTAATAATGATCAGTTGCCGGGGGGAAAAAGACTGACGCGTATGCGACGTTCAAAGCCCGGACCGATAGTGCCCCCCCCACCACCCTCCCCGACACGCACACAGCCACACGTGTGCAGGCCGCCCATCCGACCCCGACACATGCTAACGAGCCATCTTTAATTGCTTCTGATGACCTCTTGATAAATAAACATTTATTAGAATTAGAAGCGCTCTATAACTTTTCAGGCCGGCCTCAAATTCATCATAAGATTAAAACTCGGCTCCTGCACAAAACGCCTTTTTGCCCGAAGTGATCCCGGTCTCTACCCAGCCTGAGGCGAGTTACGAGTGAGGCAGGACAGGAAGCCGGATTCACGAGTCACAGGAAGTCGGAAGTGATGTCATGCTGGACAAGAATCAGAGTCCGAATAATATTTTTTCATATTCGGACTCGAGTCCGAATAATCACTTCGTAAAAAAAATTTCTTTTTATGCTTTTTGCACATTTACCGCATTCTGGTCAGTCTTTAAATCAACCCTATACACCTGCGGAAGTTGGGTTTGGTGCTTTTGAAATCTGAATAGACAAATATTGCAGATAATGCTGGGACAGTTTTGTTCACTTCAGTCCGTCTAAAGTTTTAATTGTGGTTGCTTGAATTTCAGATCCCTGCTTGCTGGACTCTCATTTTAAACCTTATAATGTGGGGATACACTGCAAGCTCATTTGTGAAATTGAGAAAAAGACACATGATCAATGGACGATAAAAGAGAACAATAGAGATAAATGGTTTCTATTTGCTATCAAGCAGGAGGGAAAACTGAAACAAAAGTAGAACAACATGGTTTCAAATCAGCAGTGGTTTTATTCAGCAGGTAGCAACTCTGCTCAAATCTGTTCAAGTACTTACGAATTGACATACATCATACATGACAACTGTAGGCCGTAGGCTAGGTGATATGATGAGCTTACATTTAGGCCTACCCTACTGCTCAGCTATAGAGAGGGCTCTTGGCTGACGAGAAGTCATTGCTCAGGCACGCTTTCCTCAGTCCTACAGTCTTCCTCCATCTCTCCATTTCCCTGTACAGGAACACTCTGCTGCTCTCTAAAAAATCCTGTGCACAAACCCCCGAATAAGCTGATCTCACTGCAATTTGTAGCCGCGCTAAAAGTGTTAAAGAACCAAATTAGTGCGAGAATGTCCCAAATATCCTGACAAAAGTCCAAATTACTGATACTGGTACTTTTAAAAGAGAATGGGTTACCATATGAACCAATAGAAACAATTGATAGACCATCTAATCTGTGCCACTATTGTCATTCTTACAATATCAATTATTTATTGATTATACCATTTGTAGGGCAAAATTTATTTTTGAAAAAGGTTTAAATACTTCAATTCTGTTGGCTGAACGGCCGAAAGCCATTGATCTGACTTTGGAACTAATACAACATCAACATCATATCACTTCCATGTTTGGTTGTGGATCACGATGTCATACAGTGTACTTCCACATTGTGCACATACCATGAAACCATGAATGTGTTCATAACACTACATACATAGTATATATAGTCTTGTTGACTGTAACCTCCAATTCCCAGAATTAGCTATACTGGACTGTAGTTAAATGACCTTGGTTCAAATCCCCAATTGTGGTGTTTTCCACTCTTCACACATGTGGTTATCTATCAGAAATGAAGGTTAAATTTGAAAGTTGTGCCTTGCAGTGTTGAAAAGGGTGTAAAATCACTCCATACCTCCATAATTAGTATGATTTTACTGAAGTGCGAAACTCCCGTGAAGATATCCTTTTTTCTGTCTTTATTTTTCATCAATAATTATTGTACAAGTGTATTGTGTCCCTTTTCATGGTTGACACGATAACAATAAAATGTCAAAACAGAATCCTTTTCCTCTGAATTGTGTTATTCATGAAAAAAATGCCCCTCAAATATGACATGAAATCAGGAATGTTGTTTGGGATTCAAGCCAAGGTTACCCACACACTACAGTCCGGGGGCTGCCCAGTTTGTCACTTGTAGGCCCAGTTTGTTATAATTACAGCACTTTAACACTGTAGTTGTAACTTAAGTTTTTTATTGTCCACCTTCAAATTGGTGGTGTAGAGATATAGTCCCTCTGAAATGTCAATTCAGCTTGTGTTGTTCAATATTTCTTCCTTTTTGTATGCAAATCAAAGCAAATTACTATGTAAAATTTCAGCAATGAATGTTCTTTTGTTAAAAACAATTGAAAAATAAAATGCAATTCATACAAAAAATAAATCATTCATTTACTCTTTTTGAGAGTGTCAGTGATAACTTCCATCATGCAGGGCACAGTCGAGGGGGGGTGGGCCTGTGACAAACTGGCATACTTCCCTGCAGTCTACCGTGGTAAACCCTGAGCCAAGAGCATACACCCTTGTTCCTCATTCTTGAATGTCATACAGAGAGAAGCGCTGGTAGATTAAGATATCATAAAATATTGTTATTTCAAAATCTCAAGAATAGTTTGATAGAATATTAATAGTAATTCTTTTTAAGAGTTATAATTTACTTGCCTGAGGGTTGTCTTTTCAAAAAATATCAATAAAGTCAAATTAATATGAAAATAATGAAAAATGGAAAAACCCAGTTGTCAGATTAAGGGAAGACGGAATATTAAAACTTGTTTGTTATGACAGTTATTGAGAAAAGACCACTGGGAAGTAGGGCATGAGATAAAAGCAATTATAATTATACAATAGTTTCGAGTTCTGGACTTTGATCAATTTTCCATTACACGTGTGTGCTTTGCGTATATACATCATCTAAACATTTCTTCCGCCATTGTATTAGTTCGAACTTTAGTATTTGTTAAGTGGAGTTTTTTTTATGCTGCGATGATTTTATTGTGTGACCTTTTTTCGGAGTTCAACAGCTATGCTGTGACATTGTCAGGGCTTTACTGCTGTATTTCTGGACTAGTATAGAGGAATTTACACCAGATAGCAAATCCCTCTCTAAGTTTTCTTGCATCTGCCTCTTTCAGTTATTACAAGCAAAATTGAATTTTGAGCATTTTTCAATGTTGTCATTTTATGTTTATGTGAATATATTCACTTTTGCTGCTTGGGTAATGTTATAATTCAGTGTTACAATGTGGCTCTTCGGTATACACCTCCGATATACTCCCATGCTCTTACACTTTTTTCCTGTATAATAATACAGAATTTTACCTCACAATACGCTGTCTCCCACTTGTTCACATAGTGATACAAAACATTTGTAATAGATACAATGGATCCATGGAGATTGACACACTGCAATGCAATTATCATGTAATCATGTAGTGCAAAACCAAAAGTAAGCTATATAATTGTTTTTATTTAATACAGTTTATTGTAATGCAATAGGCAACAGCACAATAGTACAAAACAGTCCATTGTATGGAATTATGTAGGGCCTACGTTGTAATATGATATTGGCATTGTGATGCAAAATAGAGCGCTATGGAATGTAACGTGTTTAACAGCATCGTTTAGTGAAACTACTGCATTGTAATTGAGTACAGTGTAAGGTAATGCCGTCATACAGAGTGAAAAGGGCTACATTTACATAGCCAGGGGGAAATGAGATATTGCCAATTGTATTTATTCATATATAATTTATTTTAATGGGATGCTATTTGATAGTT